GTGGGCGGGAGCATTAGCGTGGAGACCGCACGGCCGCTCACCAGCCTTCGCCCGCAGGTCAGGCGGCGGCGCCGTGGGCCGCGGTGCGGCGGGCGGGAGGATGGGCACCCAGGGCAGCCCAGTGAAGAGCTACGATTACCTGCTCAAGTTCCTGCTGGTGGGCGACAGCGACGTGGGCAAGGGCGAGATCCTGGAGAGCCTCCAGGACGGCGCAGCCGAGTCTCCATACGCCTACAGTAACGGTAGGCCGGGTTTGACGGTGGGCGCGCGGGGCGGGAGCGGCCTGGCGCGGGCGGCCTTTGCGCGTGTCGCTGCGGTCCCCTCCGGTCCTGTCCCGGAGATCTGTCGGAAAGTGGGCGCGGGCCGGGGTGACGGCGCCCGGCTAGTAAGAGTCGGCAAGTCTTTGGAGTCTCCTGGGGCCTAGAATGGGCCGTGCAGCAGATACCGCTCGATGGGCCGGGTCCTCATCGCACTGCCCCTCAGCAAACGCTCAGAGACACCGCACCCTGTGCGGGGAGAAAATACATCGGCCGCGATGTGATTCTTGTTAACTTCCGGGTGCATGACAAAAAATACACAAGGTAGATTGCATCATTGGCACTTGCCTGAGCTTGTCTCTTAATTTGGGTATTTAAGGTAAAATTGTAGTTAACAGTGGGTGGGACTAGATCACAGGCTACTTGGGCTGCTGACTCCGGAGGAATTAATGTCCAGTGGGCCTTCCGTTCTTATATCACTGGGTGCGTTTTACCTTCCTGATCTCTTCCTGGGTCCCTTTTCTCTGCCTCCTTACCTCGTTCTCTGGGGTCTTGTTAGTCCTTCAAGCCCTGGCTATTTTGTAAATAACAGTTGAGCGTGTGAGCAAGGCATCTCCCACTCTTTGGACTTAGGACTTGTCCAGGGTGATGAGCACTAGGACTTTGGTGGAGGACCCTTCATTCTGAGCAGCAGTGTTGAACCTGCTCTATATCTCCCCAAGCTCCTGCTGTCGTCCTCCATCTACTGCAGACATCAAGGGCAGGAAAGGAAGAGCCATGGTTTTATTTACTGGCGCATGTCAAGGGACCTCTGCACCAGCCAGGCCACCTTGACTGGCATTTGACTGGATGTCTCAGGGTGATAGTCCTGCTCAGAGAGGCTTTAGGGCTGCCTTTCCAGCAGGGGAGTATGGAAAGGGATGGGCTTGCCTTCAGAAGCGCTTTGGGGCAGGGGGCCACAAGCTCTCTCCATTTCTGTCTAGCACCACCAGTTTCAACTGTATGTACACACAACCTCCAATTGGACCCTCTTTCCTCAGCTTCTCTGTCGACTATGTATTGCCCTATTTCCTGTGATGTGCTAACTGAAGTGGGGCCAGTAGCACTTAAAGAGTATAGAGATGTGAGACTGTGAGCTGCCATTCACCAAATGCCTTTACACTACACAAGCTGTAAGGCCAGGGCCCACTAGCAGGTCCTTGTGTGACTCCTACAGTGTGCAGCAGAGAGGGAAGAGTGCTGAACTGTAGCAGCATGTTTCTTGTGTCGGGTTGAAATGCAGATAGCATACCAGCTCTTTGTGCTGGGAGCCTTGGGTCCCTGACCCAGGGACCATTCTTTACTGAGTGAAGTTGGTGGATCTGAGAACCCTTGGCCCTCTCACAGAAGAGGCGTTTGGAAGTGATAAAGTAGTTGGTTCTGGAGACTGAGCACAGTGTGTTTGCTGTTGAAAGAGCTGGACTTTCAAGGATAGGTAAATGTTTCATTTTCCTCCTCATTATTAAAAATCTTCAGTCTGTGCAGTGGTGGTGGCACACACCTTTAATCCCAGCACTTGTCGGGCAGAGGCAGGTGGATCTCTGTGCGTTTGATGCCGGCCTCGTCTACAGAATGAGTTCTAGAATAATCAGGGCTACACAGAGAAAACCTGTCTCAAAAAACAAAACAAAATCTTCAGGCCAGACAGTGGTGGCGCATGCCTTTAATCCCAGCACTTGTCGGGCAGATACAGGTGGATCTCTGTGAGTTTGAGGCCAGCCTAGTATACAAAGTGAGTTCCAAGCCAGCCAGGACTGTTACATAGAGGAATCCTGTCTCGAAAAACAAAAAACCAAAACAAAACAAAAAACAAAAAATCTTCAATATGGGAGCTGGAGAGATGACTCAGTGATTGAGAGAATGGGCTGCTTTCAGAGGACTCAGGTTCAGTTCCTAGCACTCACACTGTCTGTAACTCCAAGATCTGACACCCTTGCATAGACATACATGCAGGCAAGACACCAGTTCATATAAAAGAAAAATAAGTACAAAAAATAATTTAGAAAAAACTCTCAGTTTGTATATTTAGCCTTTTTTTTTTTCAAGGTACAGGGCTCTTCTGATTAGAGGTGGGTGGGCCTGCCGCTTGATATTGGCTGCTGAGCTCCATTTTGATCACAGTCTTAACATCTCGTCTAGCTTGTTCCTCAGGTGTGAACATCGCTCTCTCCCTGACTTCACAAACATGTGAGTCATCAAAACAGCTTTTTTTTTTTTTTAATTAGCACTGGCACCTGAAACAGTGACATTATGATACTGGAACACATGCCTAGCATCTGCAGGAGCCCCTAGGTCTGGTGATACTGATTATTTGTGGAGTTGGAAACACTGGGGCTTTGAAGGTGCAGCAGTGACTCCAGAACAGTCTCTTCTTCTAGATGGAGCAGGACGGATGTTTTTCAGAGAGCATTCTCAGGGGATTTATACTCCATAGCAAAGGCATTGTGGATTCTCAATTATGGGGACATGAAGGGGAGGACCATGTGTTCTGTGAGCAATTTCTGCTGTTCTCATGTATGGCCCTGGAATGATAGGTCCATGTTGGCCTCAAGTCAGCCAACTGGGTATTTACCCTTGAGCCCAGGAAACATTATTGCTACAGCACACAAGATTGTCCTTGTTTGTGTTACGAGCTTGAACATCCTCAGTTAAGACAATTACATCTTGCCCTAGCTCCTACAAAGATTCCTGAGTGTTAGGTCCTTCAGGAAAATCCCCTGTGGTTTACATATTCATGGCCTGAAAGATCCACATCTGTTAATGAGTCCATGGGTGTTATTTCATTTCTCTGTTCCTTTGGGAGTTAGTGTTTGTAGAAGGAAGCTGCGGAGTGATGCCATTGTCCTTTGAGCCAGGAGTCGGGAAGGAAGCAAGTTACAGGACAGGCCAGCATTGGGTTTTGCTGTGAATGTTGAAATTTGATGGTTATAGAGATGTCATGATGCATGTACCCTAAGTGAGGATAATGTGTGTTGTTGTCACAACATGCTGGGAGGTCCCTGCTACACTCAGGGCTGTGTTGTCCAATCAGTGACCCAGAGGCCAGCAACATTCTTGCTAATCCTGGCTCCATGTTTCTTCTCATTTGGGTTAGTCCATTTTTCTCTAAGTGACAGGTTCAAGGGTTTTGTTTTGCTTATTGGTCTTTTTTTTTGGTTTTCTGAGTCAAGGTTTCTTTGTGTAGCTTTGAAGCCTTCCTGGAACTTGCTCTGTAGACCAGGTCGGCCTCAAACTCACAGAGGTCCACCTGTCTCTGCCTCCTGAGTGCTGGGATTAAAGGTGTGCGCCACCATCACCTGACTTCAAGGGGAATTTTAAATGTTTTATTATTATTGTTATTATTATTATTAGTGTATGTATGTGTGTGTGTACTGAACTGCACATGCTATGTTACTCACGCAGAGGTCAAAATAAAGCTTTTGGTCAGACATGGTGATATATGCCTTTAATCTTAGCACTTAGGAGGCAGAGGCAGGCAGATCTCTGTGAGTTCAAGACCAGCCTAGTCTACGTAATGAATTCAGGACAGCCAGAGCTATATAATGTCTCAAAGATACCAAAATAAAATCGGTAAATAAGATGAAAAAAAAAAGACTGCTTTTGGGAGTTGCTTCTCTCTTCCACCTTTATGTGGGTTTTGGGGATCGAACTCAGGTCAGGCTTAAGCAGCAGGCACCGCATGAATGTTTTGTCTACACGTATGTCTGTGTGTCATGTGTATACCTATTGCTTATGGAAGCCAGAAGAGGAAATCAAGGTCTTGGGACTGTTGTTACAAATAGTTGTAAGCCGCCACATGGGTGCTGGAAATTAAATCCAGGTTCTCCTTAAGAGCAACAGGTACTCTTAACTGATGAGATAACTTTCCAGCCCCCCCCCCCAAGGGGAAACTTAAAACACTCATATACTCCATGTCTCATCCATTTGCTTCATCTCCAGCTCTCGCATGAAGCTTGCATAGACCCCTCTTTCTTTTTTAGTCATCTGTTTTTGAGACAGGGTCTTACTCAAGCTGGCTTTGTACTTGCTACCCTCCTGCCTCAGCCTCCCTAGTGCTAGAATTGCAGATCCTCTGTGCCTGACCTAAATGTATATTTCCGAGCGAATGAACAGCCTGTGTACAGCTTCCCTATGCTGACTGTTACTTGGTGCTGGTTCACGTGATCACTATGGTAACCCCTCACAGACCTTTCTTTTCTCTGTTTTACTGTAGATTCTCTGGGGTAACTTACTGGAGTGGGGGTTGTCTGTCTTCCCTATGTTAGATGACAGATTTTCTGGCAGACTGTTGTCCCAGGAGGAATAGGAACAGTCACTGGAATAACAGCTAATGCCTCCAGCGTGTGGTTTGTGCCAGGCATGCTTATAAGGGTGGCTCTGTTCATCATTTGATCTTCAGGACCATGATTCCCATTTTATTGATGAGGCTCTCAGGAGCACAGACTGTTTCCTGGGTGGTATGGTCCCTGGGTTCCTGGTACAGGGAGCTGGGCAGACCTCAAACAGTGGAGCAGTGACACTTTGTCGTTTTCTTCTCTTTCCCTTCATTGTGCCCGGGGTTGCCAGACAGTCACTGCTTCTGCACACTTTGAGATCCACGCCTTGGAAGGCCTGTCCCAGATCCTACCTGACCCAGCTATCATCTGGGAAGCCACATCATCCTTACTGAGAGTTGTCGCTTCTTGACAAGCCATTATAATTTGTCACAGGCCTGCAAGTGGTGACTTGCTTGCTCCATTCCCAGAGAAGCATACTGTCATCCACCATGAGAATAGTCTAGGCCTTCTCATTGTGCTTGTGTACACCATCACAGGGCCGAGCAAATTCTGCCCTGGGCATGTAGATCACCTCCTGGCGGGTTGGTGGCCTTTTGTTTGCTGTAACTAGGTCCCTTTTTCTCACAGTGCATGTACCTTCACCTCAACCTCATCATTTCATTCATTTGTT